CATCACCTGGAGATGTCTTTCAAACTCTAGATACCTAGGACACGCTCCACACCAATTAATTCCAAACCTCTAGGAGTGCAGCCTAGTCGTGAAAATTTTTAAAGTTTCCCCAGATGAGTCCAATGCACAAAGTTAAAAACTACTGTTTTAGGTCCCAGTGCTTTGGGAGGTTCTTGAGCTTTTGTTTCTATTTTTAATGGGCCAGAAATAAATTTAAGCAAATGGAATTTCCCCACTGACAATTTTCAAAAAAATCTAATATATTTTATTTTGGTGGAGGGGAAAGTTCTGTCAGGTCTTATTTTTAAAATTTATTTCTTACGGGCCGGCCCGGTGGCGCACTCGGTAGAGTGTGGCGCTTGGGAGCGTGGCGGTGCTCCTGCCGAGGGTTTGGATCCCATATAGAGACCGGTCCGCTCACTGGTTGAGCGCGGTGCGGGCGCGACACCGAGGGTTGCGATCCCATTACCGGTCACGAAAAAAGACAAAAAGGAAAAAAAAAAATTATTTCTTACTAATTTAAAATGAAATAACCTAGATCTAACACTAGCCAATTCAAAGTTAAAAGATAAAGAAGAAAACATTTTTACTAGAACTTTCTTATACCCTCCCAAGGAATTGGGATTAGCTGGACCAGAAGATGCTTCCTTTTCTACTAAACACTGTACATAGACCCCCCCGGCCGGTTGAGCTAATTTTGACTTCCAACTGAATTCAAGTACGGTTCAGTGTCATGTAAAATGTGAATCTACTAAAGAAACCCTCAGCCCACTCAAAAAAATCTCTAAACTTCAGACAAGGTACTACTGATCCCTACTTCATAAGGTTGTCAGGTTTAGCAAAAACAAACAACAAAAACAATCTCCCCCCTTCCTCCAGGACACCCAATTACATTAGAATCACCTGGTGAGCTCTTAAAAATTTCCTATGCCTGCCCGGTCCACACCCACACCAATAAAACTAGAAAGTCTGGGGATTTAGCCCAGTCATCAGAATTTTTAAAATCTCCCCCATCTTAAATATGTCCTTAAGTATTGTGTGGAATAGTTATTTTAAAATTATTTGTTTTCTGCCTGAAATTCAAATTGAATGGGGCCTCCTCTCTACTATTTAGCAGTCCCACTACTGATAGGGGCACAACTTCCAGCTGGGAAGAGAATGAAGGAGGCAGAAAACACTGGAAGAGAGCAGGCTCTGTCTCCCCCAGAGCTCTGGAGCCTGCTCAGGGGCTGTGGAGCTGGGACGCCTAGGGCATCTGCCCAGTCCCCCACCCCCCACCCCAAGACTATCTTCCAAGCTCAGAAGAGCATTTTAAAAACATGTTATGTCTTAAAAAGCCAAGTTGACAGACTAGGTGTTATAAGAAATGCATTCTGGCTGAGGAAGGTAAGACAGTTGGATTGAACTCAGGTGTGTGTTAGGTGGAAATCGGTCTCTCATAAGAAGTCAGCCTCTTCCAGAGGCCCCACCGGCACCACACTAGGTCCAGAAGGGCCTTTCAGACTCGGTGCCCTCTCAGTGTCTGCTCCCAGGGCGCCCCCTACAGGGAGGAGCTGGCAGAACGCCTCGGCTGACAGCTTTTTCCACCCCTCTTCCTGCAGCAGCAATTCCTTCCCACAGTGTGACTGTATGTAACTCAGGCCACTCTGGCCTTCTCTGGAATTCCACACCAATGCAGCTGTTTTATTTCATATATAAAATATCATCCCTGGGGTAAGCCTCCCATGGACCAGGACCGACTTGGCTGGCCTCTCTGCAGGGCTCCTAGACCAAACCTACATCGTGATTTGTTGTGGCCATTCCTTCCTTGTAGGCAATTCCCAAGAGACCACTCCTCAGGCCTCTTTTCACTGCCTGCTTCTTTTCAGGCCCTCAGGAGAGCCCAAGGACACCTGTGTCCTAAGGGCTCAGGAGACTCCAGAAGACAGACCCTCACCCAGTCTTCCTGGTGTGGGTGGCTCCACCGTCCTGGGTCAGACCAGTTCAACCCCGTTACTTGCAGCATGAAACATGTCCCATACATGATTAAAAAGAAATGAGATCCAACAAAAGCAAAAGTTGACTGGAATGGAATGAAGATCAGTCTGGCCACAGCCCTGCCTTTGTCAAGCAGGAAGCACACCCAAGTCCCCAGATCCCCTCGTCACCCTTTACTGCCCTCTCTTCTCTGTGTACATCTCCCCCATGACCCCTGCCCCCCCACCCCAGCATGCCCAAATCTTCCTTTTTACACCAGCTGTGCTGAAGAAAATAAACTGCAGGGGTAAAATAAGGCCATACATGTTTATATATATATTTGGATTAAGGAAACGAATCACAAGCCACATAAAATTGAGATGAACTGGAAAACTCAAAGGGAAGCACCGCACCTACTCCCAGCTGCCTAGAACAAAAGGTCACATTAAAAATCCATAGCGTGAATTCCCACCATGTGTCAGAAGGATGGAAGACTAGGACGTCACTGCAGCTTTCCCGACTGTGTCTCCCACCAGCACAGCATTCACTCCCCTGACTGGGAACCAGGTACGGGTGTGTTTCTAACCACCTGAGCGGAGGCCAGAGCTCAGATTCTGGAATCGAAACCGCAGGCCTACACCACCAGACTGCACGGAGAACCAAGACTGCTGAGCACGGCGATACGGCCCACCTGTGCACCTGTCTTAGGATGCAGCCACGGGAAAGGAACCTGACTGGGATGGGGGCCCTCCCTGAAAAGCATGTCTTTGGTTGCCCGATGTTGACACCTGCCTTAGACACCCCCTCCCCCAAAGCTCTTTTTATTCCTCCTTTTCATCCCTTCATTTTACACCCAAGTGAATGCTGCTTTTCATTGTCTTAGAGACAAAACAGCAACAGAAAGGGGAAGGGAAGCAATAATGGGGGAGTGAATGGAGAACTCCAAAAATGCCAAGAACACTATGGAACAAGGATGGCCCCGTGTCATGCCTCTGCAAACCCGAGTCCTTCAGACACTGTGCAAATGCAGCATGGAGTGCTGCGGCCGGGCGGGGGCTCAGCGAGGGGCTCTGCTCACAGTCCCTACAACACGCCTGCCTCCTCTCTGAGCTTCAATACCTGCGCTCGAAAGGTGGCCAAAAAGGTTGGTGAGGACACACTGTGAGGCGTCCAGACTCCTGGGAAAGATCAATGCAGCATGGAGTGCTGCGGCCGGGCGGGGGCTCAGCGAGGGGCTCTGCTCACAGTCCCTGCAACACGCCTGCCTCCTCTCTGAGCTTCAATACCTGCGCTCGAAAGGTGGCCAAAAAGGTTGGTGAGGACACACTGTGAGGTGTCCAGACTCCTGGGAAAGATACAATTTTGCTCCCACTCTCAGGGGAACAGGAGTGGGATGAAAGAGCCTGTCTTGCTAGAGTATTTTTTAATCCTTATCTCCAGAGGTAGAATCATTTTATCCAGCATCTGAAACGCAAGCTTCCAGATCTTGTTATTACAGTAACTCCTGATAGCAGACGTTGTCGCCTCCCACTGCCAGGACCCTCTGCCCCTTGCAAAGAGGCCACAAAGTGCATGGACAGCTAACTGTGCAGATGTCATCCACAGCCACAGCCCACGCTCACCCTCGCTCGCGTGCATGGCCCCCCCACATACACCAGCAAATGTATGCATGGTGGCTGGCGATACATTTACAGTGTGAGTGTGAGGCCGGGCCCAGGCCTGCATCGTGGGGCGGGGTCTGCCTCTTGGTCTGGGGTCCTGAGGCCGCTCTGCAGCCAGCCCCGTTGTCTCAGTGTTTGATCTCGAGGATGGAGGGGTTGTGGTCTAGGATGGCGAGGATAATCTTGTCCATGTACTGCCTCAGCCGGAAGTTGATCTCTTCCTGCTCCTTTAGGGCTTCCATTAGCTGAGGGAGATGGGAAAGACCAGTCAGAGGCCGGGACTGGGCTGCAGGTGGAGCCCAGATTCGCAGGCCTGCAGTGGACCAGTGCCCGATGACAGAGGGGTTCAGGAGACCCTGGGCAAAGCAGGCCCCAAGACCAACCTCAGCACTTGGATGCCGGGACAAGAGTCTAAAGCAGCGGCTCCGCTCCACCTGGGGAGAATAACTGGTTTGTGGAGGGGCCCAGGTGTGGGTAATTTTCTGATAAAGTTTGACAACAGTGATCAAAGTCATTTTTAATAATCAAGACTGACATTCAGAGTCCCAGGACCCCTAAGACTCCCAAGGCTGTCTCCTTTGCTGGAGCAGCCCCCCTCCCCACCCCCTTTCCAGGGCAACTCCTAGGATGTCCTTTAGGATGTAGCTGAAATGCTACCTCTGCCCTGGGTCTCGGCACTGGTGCCAGGCTCACCTGGGAGCTCCTTGAGACCAGAGGTCAGTTCTTAGCTCTGTGTCCCAGGCAGAGAGTAAGGTTCAGTGACAGGGTGACTTATGGTTCATGTCAAAATGTAGCCAGGGTATGTTGGAAGCCTAATCTTTTACAACCACACCCTGGAGTGGCAGAAAGAGTAGGCTTTAGCATTAGAGATCTGGGTCCCTCTCCCTCCACAGCTGGGTGATTCTGTGTTCTAGTTTCTCAGCTGTAACAAGGAGGTATTCATAAAGCCCAGAGTTAGCAGGAGATTAAGTGAAAACATCCTGCAAAGCAGGTGCTCAAGAAATGCTAGTTGCCTTCCCTTCTTGGCTGGGGAGGGAAGTTACAGCCTAACCTGGATCCACATGTTGATGAAATCAGCTGGCCATTTCGGCACCTTCCCGGCAGACAAAGGTGGGGAACAGGGGCAGGACCCCCGAAGGAGGGGCCGGGCCCCAAACGAGAGTGAGTGTTCATGGTTACCTCATCACGGGAGGCTGTGTCTATTTCCGCAGCCAGAGACTGGGCTTTGGTCTGGGTGGCAAAGAGGTTCTTAGCTTCGTAGAGGCTGAGGCTCAAGATCTGTCCGTTCAAGTCATCATTCTGATCCCGCAGCTTATGATTCTCCTGCAGAGCCAGATGAAGGCAACATCAACTCCCTGAAGCAACCATACCATCCCCTCAGGTGTGCGGCACAGCTGGCTTAGGAGGCCCAGAGATGCTGTGGGCTTGGCCAGGCGTTGGGGGCAGGGGGAGGTAGAGGGGCTGGGTCCTGGTCTAGGCGCTGGCATCCTGGGAGTTCATGGGGTTTTGAGAAGGAGTTACAGCTCTGCTCAGAAGCTGTGTTTCCAGACAGGAGCACAGTGGCTCCTGGCCATCCCTTCCTCCCTGGGTCCCTGTGTGGGGACCCCCACCACCAGCAGCTCATTCTTCAACACTG